AGAAAAGGTTCATCTGGGTGCCTAAGAGGAGCTATGATGGCATTGAGTTATTTTCTTACACGAAGGCAGTTTTAGTGGGAAAATTCAAATGGAAATGTTTAATAATCAAATAAGATGACCCAAGCTAAGCAAAGCTCCTTCTACCATTTCCGGGCCCCACGGTTGTCCCAGAAACAGCTCTAGTAACTGGAGAAGCTGACCTTCAAGAAGGACAGGAACTGAGGAGACAGTGCTGAGGGGCTCCCCACCCCTGCCGGGGGGTTGGCGCTGACCAAGCGGTGGGTTAGTGTTCCACTCAGGCCTCTCTCATAACTAGTGTCCAGCCCTCCATAGGATGGTTCCAGGAGTGGGTCTGCTGGTTACAGGATGTCCGTCACCGAGCTGTAGAGTCCCTGAGACTGACCCTCAAACCTTTGGCCCCAGGCATCAGCCCCCTCCCTCACACTGATTAGCACTGCAAGTCAAAGTGACTAATTGTTCTCTGCCTGATGGCTTGTTACACACTCTGTGCCGTATATCCTGTGTTAAATGATCTAGGACAGGCATGTCTCCTACTTTTTACTAACATGTTGATGGTACAAAACGGTGAGTTCCGTGGCGATGTTTTCGTACATGTATATAGTTTTATTATATTCACCACCCCCTCCCCTCCACTGTCCTCACCTCTTCTGGCCCCTTCCTCCTCCCAAATTAGGACAGAAAGATGTTTCAGTGAACACCTGCTCATACCTCTGTTCTCTGCACACACTCACACTTACATGCACATGCCACACGCGCGCATACACACACACACACACACACACACACACACACACACACACACACACACACATGCACGCGCGCGCGCGCGCACACACACACACTTTCCTAATTTAAAAAAAAACACACACACACGCACACATGCACGCGCGCGCGCGCGCACACACACACACTTTCCTAATTTAAAAAAAAATCTTACCGTTTAGTAACATGCCTCCAAATTATACAGCTTGCAAGATGACACAGCCAGGCTAAAAATCCAAGCAGTGACACCATTGCCTCCAGATACTTGTTGAGTGAGTGAAGGAGAGCCAGAAAGGGGAGGAGGTGGGGCAGAAAGAGTGTCTGAAAACATGCGCTCTAGGATGAACATGTGCTCTAAGTGTGTGGGGACCACAGGTGGGAGGAGTTGGTTTGGGGAGTCAGGGTACATCTCCCCCCTTCCCACCCTCCCAACGACATCCCTTCTGCAACTGCCCTGTCTCTGAAGCATCGGGAGTTTTTCTTGTTCTGATCAGTGTATAAACGTGCTGAAACACTTCTCGTCCTCAAGACGACGATAAAAACCCATCACCACTCTTACCTCGCCCTCCTTCCAGCTGTTTCTGTCTCCCTTTAGGGCAAACTCCTCCAAATCGCCCCTGATCTGACTGGTCTCTCCATTGCCTCCTCCTAAACTCAGTGGAACCTGAGTTGAACACCCACAACCCTCCATATGCACACTCCCACCCACGCCCACCACGGAAACAGCTTCAGGGAAGTTCAGTGTTCCAGCCCAGGGCTCACCTCAACAGCCTACCCTGTGTTGGTCACCACCATCCCCTGTGGGATATCACACTCTCTCCTGGTTTTTGCTTTTTTGTTTTTGTTTTTTTTTGTGGGGGATAAGATCTCACTCTGTTACTCAGACTGGCATCAAACTTGTGTCAATCCTCCTGCCTCAGCCTCCTGGGAACTGAGATTCTAGGATTGCGCCTCCTTGCCTGTCTCCTGGTTAGTTCTCTGTCTCCACCTACTGCTCCATCCCCATGCTTCTGGTCGGGTCTCAAACATTGATCTTCCTCCCAATGCACATGTCTGTCAGAAAGTAGCAATTCTCCCTTGCAACTGAATCCAGCCATGAGCTAGGTGCTCAGCCTGCCTCTGCCACCTCATTTTCCTTACAGCACCTATATGTTGCTTGGGAAGACCCCCAGATGTTGACTTCTGCGGTACACACATCACTCAGCACAGCAACTCTCCCTTGAGATTGAATGCAGACAGACATGAGCCAGATGCCTAGCACCTGGATGAGAAGTCGGCCTGCCTCTGCCGCCTTCTGTGTCTTACAGCATTTGTACGGTGTTGGAGAATGTGGCCGGCCCTCTGCTCCCCAAACGTGCTTCTCGCCCCATCCTCACCGGATCCCCGGGATAGGAGGCTAAGGGCGAGAGTTTTTCCAACCCGTCGCTCCCTTTTCCGGCGTCCCCCATGGAAGCTTCAGATTCCATAGGTAGCCGTCCTTCCGTTCACTGCCGGATACTTGGCCTGGTTCCCTGAGCGCGGCCCTTCTGATCAAAGCGGGGGAGTGGAAGCTGGGGTTTCTTGTGGGCTCCAGTCTGGTCATCTGGTCTTCCTCTGAAGAGCATGTGGTGTACACTCTTCACCCCGGGGACTTGTTAGTCACGTTCTCAGCACAATGGGTACTCTTAGTGAGTGAAATGCTCCGTCTTCCACAGTGAAAGGCCAGCTGCAGAACAGGAGAAGAACAAGGGCAGAATGATCTGATCAGACATCTGGGGGGCCCCCTGGCATTTGGAGTGAGTGCCTAGAGAAACTAACTGTTCTGGCCTGAGGGAGCAGGCGACCATTAATCTTAGTGGATTTGACCGCTGTCTGCCCCAGAGGTCCCAGCCTGCTGTGTGACTCAGAACCCTCAACACTCCCCCTATTCTTCTCTCACTGGGACATTCGGGAGGCCATTTCTAAGGCATTTTAATTTGGTAATAATTGACATGCCCTGCTATACCCAGTCCGGCTTCCTAAATGAATTGGTTAGCACTCATCACCCCTGATGCTTGACCACCTTGCACACTAGGAAAAGCAAATTCCTGCCCACCCTGGCTGTCTCCCACTTGTGTGCACTCCATCTAGCCAGCAGGTTCTTCTCTCCACCATGGATGACCCAAGCCTAGGCTTGGGCTGTCCCATAGCCCTTCTTCAGGCACGTTCCAAGAGCTGAGAGCATGCTCTGGGGAGAGGAGAGATACGGCCAGAGGTCCATCTGTTGAGCGTTTCATTCTGCAACGCACTGTGTTAGGAATGACAACTGCCATCTGTCTTCCAACGTCTTTGTAAACGTTCTGGAATTCAGAAAGACCACAGACACTCGGTACAACACTCGGACAACCCTGAGGGTGAGGGTTCTGGAGACAAGGCATGAAGGCCAAAGCGCTGTGTACATACTTTCAAAGAGTGGGGTGAGGCCTTCTTGACCCTCATTGCTACCCGTATCCGGCCATGTCAACTGCCCCTACTGGTGCTGGGCTCCAGGCCAGCTTCTGTAATTGTGTTGCTGGCCATGTCGCGTTGTACGCCTGCCACGGGCAGATGGAGCTACATGGTCTTGGGTCTGGCTCTTCATCTTTCTGAGCCCCGAGAGTCTATTTGTGATGCATGGCACCCACGCCCAGGGCTGTTGAGGAACTGTTAGTCACTGCGCTTCATCCAGAAGCTTCCAGTAAGTTCTGTAATTGCACTGACGTCTATATTTCATTTCCAAAATACAGTTGTTTACCCAGGAAAATACAGTTTTTCTCCTTTACGTTTGTTTTGTTTATCAAATAAAGTTTCAGCCCCTCATTTTGTGTTTGCATCTCATTTGAGTCTCATTGGCAGGGAAGGCTTAAAAATGTAGATTTCTAGAATTCTGCATCTACTTCATAAGCAATCACTTGCATAAGGCCCTGGACTAGACCTCCGTGGGTGAACTGGACTTGACACCCAGCAGATGATATATCATCTTTCCTGGCTGTCCAGCAGAGACGCACACACCCACACTCCAATCCCTGCAGGGCCGTGCTGAGGGCCGGCCTGCTAGTGAACCACACCCTGGGGGGGGGACGTGGGGGGGGGGAGCTAGACACCAGAGAATTGCCCAGTGGGGGCGGGCAGCAAGGCTGGGATTCAAAACTGGCAGGTGAGGCAGCCGGTGGGGCCTGCAGTCCTGGTGTTCACTGGGTCATTTACTGACAATGTCCTGACGTTTCCCAGACTGCGTGCATGGGTCAGAACTGTGGGGGAGGACTGTGACTCCAGCACCACACTGAACACATCAGGATGCGGAAGCCTGGTGCCGTAGGATGATACAGTCCTAGTCACACAGCAAAGACAAGGCCAGAACACGACCCTCCAGACACTGCTTGCTTTCTACCCCGTGGCTTCCTGAGATGGCCTCGTCTCCAGATCATAGGGCAGGGAGGCCGTCAGCATCATTCTGGTTCTCAAAACAATTACAGGGGTCTTTGCGTGCCCATCTCTGTGCAAAGTGCGGGCCGAGGTCTGATCTCAAGAATTTGTGCCGTAGCGAGAGACAGTTCTGTGGTGGAGCAGGGCAGCTGGGAGTGAGGGTAGGATAAGGAGGGTGGCTTGGGAAACTCCCAGAGCAGAGAGGCAGGCAGCCCAGTCCGTGGGTCAGGGCATCACTCCTGGGAAGCCCGCATCTGAGTTTAGCTGTGAAGGGCCTGGCATTCTCCACGAGGAGGACCAGGAAAATTCCAAACTGAATAGGCGGACACGCTCAACTGAAAATCAGTCAGGGGATTCATCGGTAGCTCAGTCACACACATTTGCTGTGTCTGTGGTCAGGCCACTGTGGATGGTTCCCACTGGGTGGCTGGTGGGGGTGGGGGTGGTGGGGATAAAAGCAGAGGAGACCGGGCACACGGGGACGTGCCAGGAAGGTGCGAGGGCCAGTGCCCTCTGGATGTGTCAAAGCCTGGGTAACTGTGTCCAGTCCCAGGCACTGCCTCATGGGTGATCAGGCTTACTACAAAGACTCTTTGACACCAAGGGTGTTCCTTTTGTGGAGGCCATCAAGGGACTTTTTTACTGGGCTCTCTAATTAGGAACTTGTGGGTCTCATTCCTGAACCCTGATGTGGATAGAGCCCGAAATGCCTATCTACGGGAAGAGCGCTTCATTCCATTTTAGTCCCTGCGGCTCTGGGCCCAGCAAGCCCTGACCTTCCTTCTCTCCCGCAGGCCTGCCGAGCTAGCCACCAAGTACGCAAACTTTTCAGAGGGAGCTTGCAAACCCGGCTACGCTTCAGCCCTGATGACCGCCATTTTCCCCAGGTAAGTGGCCCCGTTCTGCGATGCCTGGACAGTGTGGGCTGAGACTCAAGCGTGTGAAACATCTGAGGAGGCTTGACCTTTTCCCTCCCCTCTTTTTTTTTTTTTTTTTTTTTTTTGAGACAAGGTCTCATTATGTAGCTCTGGCTGTATAGACCAGGGCGGCCTTGAACTCACAGAGATCCGCCTGCCTTTGCCTCCCAAGTGCTAAAACTCATATCATTTTTTAATTATTACACATAATTGTATCACTATATCATAATTTTGTTAAAAATATTTGTTGCAGTTTAATTTATGCAAAATGTATACAATAAAATTCGCCTTTGGTGTCGTTCAGAACATTTGACGATCAGTAGCACATGCCTGTCTCCCTCAGATTCCCCATGCTGCTTTTTGGTGAGCTCCTCTCTCATCCTCAGCCTCGGGCAACCCCTGACCTATTTCTAGCCCTGCTGTGTTTCTAGAACATCTTGTGAATGGAGTCATGGTGTGTAGCTTTCTGAGGGAGCGTCTGGCACTTGGTGGGATGTAGTCGAGTCCATGCATCTGTCGTATATACTATACACTGTCGTATATACTATATACTGTTGTATACACTGTTGTTTGCACCTTTTGGTTGCTGAGTAGTTTTCATAATAGAGATGTAACGCTCTGTTCGCCCAGAAGTCAAGGGCATGTAAGGTAATTCCAACTTGAGGCAATTAATCACAGAGAAAGCCACCAGGGCACTGGCACATGGCTTAAGGGGAGAGAGAAAGCCATTAAAACACAGAGGTGCTGTATAAATACACATGTTCACCTTTCATAGTGAATGCCTAGAAGTCAGTGACTGGGTCCAGTGTCATGTGTGGCTCACTTGCAAGAAACTGCCAAGTTGTCTGTCTTTCAATGTGATTGTACCGGTTGTCTGTCCCACCAGCTGTAACTGACAGTCCAGATGCTGAGTGTCCGGGGGTGGGGGTGGGGGGTTAGTGGGAGGATTGTTTTTCTCTCAATGTCTTTACAGGGCAGGAATTTTTATTATTGATGGAGTCCAACTCATCACGTTTTTTCCTTTTATGTATTTAACTTTGAGTGTTGTATCTAAGACATATTCTCAAACATAAGGTCAGATAGGTGTTTTTTTTTTCTTGTTTTCTTCTAGAATTGTTATGGGTTTAGCTCTCAAATTCAAGCCTCTGACCTGTTTGGAGTTCTTATTTGTATATAGTGGCATGTAAGAGCTTGGGATTTCCTTATTTGCATATAGGTGTTTGTTAGTTCCAAAATAGTGTTGGCAACCCCGACAACACACACATATGCATACACATACACACATATGCACATACACATATATGTGCATACACACACATGCACACACATGCACTAAAATACCTTGTTTTTATTGAATTATTGAAAATCAGCTGACATGTGCATTGCTGTTTTGCTGATCTCTGTCTGTCCTTCTGTTACTAAAGACGGTTTTATTTCATCTTTTCCAGTATAGTAGCCTCTCCTTTTTTATCTTACTTATCATCGTGGTGTGTGTGATGAGATGAGGCATGCCACAGCGTGCATGTGGAGGTGAGAGGAAAACTTGGGAGTGGATTCTCTCCTTCCACCTCTGTGTGGGTTCTGGGAAGCGAGTCCATGGCTCTCACACTTGGCAGCAGGCACTTTGACCTACTGAGCCAGCTCACTGGCCCCGGAGCCTCTTACTCTTTTTTCTTGACTTGCTGTATTAAGTGGACTCTTCAATATGATATTAAATGATATGATTATTACATTGTTAGCAGTTTGATCAGCTCACCCCCCTCAGCCCTTCTCCCATCCCTGGAGGAGGCGAAGTAGATGTGGCTGGAATGGTCTGTCCTCTAATCACGTGACTGGTCCACCTGAAGTCCGCCCCATTCTGAGGCTCTCCAGGCACCCGACAGCCTCTTCATTAGAATAAAAAAGATGTTCCTGTCACCCCCAAAATTCCAAGGCACTTGGAGTTCTATGCTAGTTCCTGTCACTCAGAAAATTACAAAAGTCTTAGGAGCTCTGGGTCAGGAGTGAACGCCAAAGACCAAACATTAGATCATGAGATCCCAATTTTAATAACAAAAGACCCCAGTATTAGAGCAGAAGACTGTAGAAGGAATCTTAAAAGTTCTTATTAATAAAATCAAACCTGAGCCAGGTATTGGGGTGAAATGCTGGATGGTCAGAGAGACAGAACAAGCTACAGCTAACCTCACCTGGCCAACTTCTCAGCTGGTCTTGTTTCCTCAAACTGGAAGCTTCTGTGTCCTCATCCCAATGGTTTTCAGTTGAACTGCTGCTCGAAAGCCTGAAGCTTAACCAGCTAAATGCTTCTAGTTTCTGGTCCTCACACCTTATATACCTTTCTGCTTTCTACCACCACTCCCTGGGATTAAAGGCTCGCTTTCTGGGATTAAAGGCGCGAGTCACCATGCTTGGCTGTATCCTTGAACAGATGGATTTCTGCCTCTGGAATGCCAGGATTAAAGGCGTGTGCTACCACTACCTGTCCTTTATGTTTAATATTGTGGCTGATCTGTCTCTGACCCCAGATAAGTTTATTAGCATGCACAATATTTCGGGGAACACAATACCACAGAAGACCCCAAATTTAATAACAAAAGACCCCAGTATTAGAGCAGGAGACTCCTAATATCAGAGCAGAAGATCTCCCAATATCAGACCAGAAGACCCCAAATACCATAGCGGAAAAGCCCCAGTATTAGAGCAGAAGACGCCCCCCCAGTACTGAACAGAAGACACCCAGTATTGGAACAGAAGACTACTGTAGAATAATTCTCCTGTACACTGTAAAGACTTGTTACTCGAATTGGTTTAATAAAATGCTGATTGGCCAGTAGCCAGTATATGCAGGTAACCAAACTAAGAATGCTGGGAAGAGGAAGGATAGAGTGAGTAGTCACCACCCACATGCAGAGGAAGTAAGATGAGAATGCTGCACTGAGAAAAGGTACCAAGCCCTGTGGCTAAACATAGATAAGAATTATGGGTTAATTTAAATGTAAGAGCTAGTCAGTATTAAGCCTGAGCTACCAGCCAAGCATCTATAAGTAATATTAAGCCTCTGAATCAGTTATTTGGGAACAAGCAGGAGGGAGAGAAACATTCCACCTACATCTAGCGCCCAACATGGGGTACCAGATTAAAGCAAGAAATCCACAGGAGTCTGCTTAAGAAGTATTAGAGGCCGGGGCGGTGGTGGCGCACGCCTTTAATCCCAGCACTCGGGAGGCAGAGGCAGGCGGATCTCTGTGAGTTCGAGGCCAGCCTGGGCTACCAAGTGAGTTCCAGGAAAGGCGCAAAGCTACACAGAGAAACCCTGTCTTGAGAAAAAAAAAAAAAAAAAGAAGTATTAGAGAATTTATTAGGGTATAAATTGAGGAAATACACTCATGAATACAGAACCAAGTAAACAACTGAAGTCATCCTCTGTTCTGACTGGGAGCAAATCCATCTGGCAGTCTACTCACACCAGGAAGCAGGAACCAGGGAGAATATACCTTATGACCCCTCTCCCTTTCCTTTTAAGAGGTCACATACAATGGCAAGAAGCACTGCCTCCTTTGGGATACATAGCCCAAGATCATGGGCAGAGCAAATACCACTACAAAAGACCCCCAGTATTGGAACAGAAGGCCCCCCAGTATTAGAACAGAAGGCTCCCCAGTATTGGAACAGAAGGCCCCCCAAAGGCATGAAGACCCCCAAAGGCATGAGAGTAGGTGAACTTTCCCATCAAGAGTGGGAGAGGGATAAGAGAAAGAGTGACTGGGGGCAAAATGACCAAAGTACATTATATACACGTATGAAATGTCAAGTAATTAAAAACAAATTTTAAAATAAGAGGAAAATAGCCCTAGTGTTGTTATCTTGAAGTTTTTAGGAACCAGGGGCAGAGACCTAAAAAAATAAAGTTATAGATAATGTATTTTTTTTCTAACTTCCCTTAATGACTTTTCTTTGACTCATGAGCTCCTTGAAAGTGTTGTTTAATTTGTAGTTGTCTGAGGGTGTATATGTAATCAAAATATACTTTCAATGATCTTGATACTTTAAAAATGATTGAGATCTGCATTATGGGGCAAAATCTGATCTATCTTCGTAGATGTTCTTGAGAAGAGTGTATTTGTTGTTACTGGGTACTCTACAAGTGATATCAGATGAGCCTGGTTGATAGTGTTTGTCAAACTGCCATGTCTTTACTGGCTTTCTATCCACTTAATTCTGACAGGAGTGTTGAAATCTTTATTCATCAGTTTTTGTTCATTCAGTCTGAAGCTGTTATTTGGTTCTTGTACACTATAGTTATCATATCACCTTTTTAGATGTCTAGATTCTGTTATTTTGAAATGTTTCTTTTTCACTAGTAATTATCCTTGTGAAGTTTTCTTAGATAATGTCAATCATTGTAACTGCTCCACTTGATTAAAATTAGCTTTATCGACTCGTTTGCCATATATATATATATATATATATATATATATATATATATATACATGAAGAAGTATACATTTGTTTGCTCTTAAGCTGTTACATGTATGGTGGGGCAACTGTCCATCTTTGCTTTTAATCTGCTGGTATCTTTATGTCTTCATAATTAAGGTGGGTTTCTTGTAGACAGCACATAGTTGAGCCTTGCTTTTTAATACAATATGACAATGTCTGCCTTTTATTGGAATGCTTCTAAAATTATATGCCATTGATATATAAGTCATCAATATGGTTATGCCTAAATCTACATTACCATTAGTTCCTGTTTGTTTCTTTCTTTTCATGCCTCCTTTTAGATTAATTGCATACTATGATTTCATTTTAATAGCTGTATTGCTTAGTTTTGTTTTTAATGGGTGTTTTGCATTTTATAAGGTACATTTTTTATTTATAATTATTTTCAAAACCATATAGAATGTAACAACCTTATGTAATAATATTTTCCATTCTTTGTGCTGTTTTCTCATGCATTTTACATCTGTTTA